CACTTCACGGTTAGCTCGGCTCCCGGCGACCCCGTGTCCGAAAGAAAAACCACCACCCGGTCCTGCACCCCCTTCACGGTCCTCACCAATGAGGTCCTCATGGTCCTCATCCAAGCCCACTGATAGACTTGCTATTTCCATCCATCTGCTGGGTCTCCCATTTGTGGGCTGACCTTCCACTCTACCAAGCACGATGTTCTGCTCCCAGGACTGGTCCTTGCATCCCCAGAGTCCCCGAGATAAAGCCTTGCCATCCTTCCCCAGCACCACAATTCAAAGGCATCTATTCTTCCTGTCTTCTTGATTCCCTGCCCACCTTTCGCATACAGATCAGAATGGTTACAAACATAACGGCTCGGGTCACAGTGATATAGTTGCTTTGACATTTTAAAGAGGCTCTTCTTCGCAGATGTGTCCCGGGAAGCACGTTGGCTCACTTCTTGCTGGCTCCTGCCACTGAGGTTGATGGTGGAGCCAAGTAAAATTAACTCCTTGACAACTTCACTCTCTTCTCCCGTTAGCATGATGTCGCTTACGAGTCCAGGGGTGAGGATTTTCGCTTTATGTTAAGTTGTAATCCACAGGGAAGGCTGTGGTTGATCTTCCCAGTGCTTCAAGGCTTCCTTGCTTTCAGCAAGCAAATTTGCGCCGTCTATGTATCTCCGGTTGCTAGTCTCCTTCCAGTCCCGATGCCACAGTCTTCTCAGATTTTCTCAGCATACAGACTGAATAATATGGTGAAAGGACACAGCCCTCGTGCACAGCGTACTGGATTTTAAACATGCAGCATCCCTCGTTCTGTTCCAAGGACTACTTCTTGGTCTACTTACACGTTCCGCAGAAGCGCAGTAAAGTGTTCAGGAATTCCCGTTCTTCTCAACACCATCCATGGATCATTTTGATGCCTTCTCAGGGCCAACAAGACACAAGCAAACATCGTTCTGGCACTCTGTGCTCTCAGCCACTATCCATCTGGCATCAGCAATGATACCATTTGTTTGACATCCTCTTCTGAAGCCAGCTTGAATGTCTGGACATTTCCTATCAATGTACTTCTCCAACCCTTTTTAAATTACCTTCCGCAAAGTGTCCCTTGCATATTATTTAATGTAGTTTGATCATTTCCACATTCTGTTGGCTCATCTTTCTTTGGAATGGGCACAATTATGAATCTGCTCTAGCAGGTTAGCTGTCTGACAGATTTCTTGGCATGGATGAGTGAGTGCTTCCAGTGCTTCATCAGCTTTCTGAAACACTTCAACTGGTCTCCCACCAATTCCTGAACACTTGTTTTTGGCTAATGACTTCAGCACCATTGGTTCTTGATCACATGACCTCCTGAAATGGCTGACAGTCAACCACTTCTTTTTGACACAGTGACTCTGTGCATTCCTTCCATCTATTTCTTCTAAATAGTTTCACTGATATAAGAGGCAGTACCCCCCAAAACCGGAATTGCGCTGGGTAGAGCAGAGCTATCAAAGGCGAGCATTGAGCAACTCGCTCTGAGTTAGTACACTCAGTGGCGTTGCCTGGGAAGGTTCTCTCTGGTTACAGATGCACACTGTTTTTCATAAAAGCAGTTTCACGCAAACCTTGTTTATTGTGACGGTCGATTTAAGAGAACAGTGTGCATCTGTGAAATTTTATTTTCTGCTCGGGAAAAATGCTGCAGAAACTCTTGTGATGTTGAACACAGCTTACAAGGAAAGCACTATGGGAAAACTCAAGTGTACGAGTTGTTTTCTCGTTTCAAAAAAGGAGAAATGTTGACTGATGACAACCTCTTCTGGACATGGACGAAAATGTCGACTCGGAGTTCGTTCCCCCAGATCAGACTGTTAATCAAGCTTTCTATTTAGAGGTTCTGAAAAGATTGTATAACAGTGTACAACAAAAAAGGTCTGGTTTGTGGTAGACCGGGGACTGGTTTTGCCACCACAACAATGCACCTGCTCAAACAGCCATCTCAGTGCGCCAGTTTTGGGCAAAAACCAGTATGTTCTCTTGCCCCACGCACCTTAGTCACCTGACCTCACTCCATGGGGCTTCTTTTGTTTCATGAAAGGGACATGAAAGGTTAGTGATTTGATGACCTAGAAAAAAACGAGGGAGGTGCTGTCGGCGATCCAAACAGATCAGATTGAAAAATATTTCCAAGAATGGAATAGTAGATTTGACAAATGTGTAGTGGAGATTAATTTGAAGGTGGTAAGGTTGTTTTGTAAAAAAAATTTGTAATTACATAGCTTTGAAAAAAATTCTTTTTTGGGGGGGGTACCCCTCATATAATTTACATATCATAAACTTCAATCACATTAAAAAGAGTTGCACAATCATCATTATAATCAACTCTAGAACATTTCCCCCTTCTTGTACTCCCTTTTATTAGCTCCCCATTTCCCCTTTGACACCCCCCCAATAAGCCATTAATCAGTTACTGTCTCTATAGGTTTACCTATCGTGGATTTCACATACAGATAAGCCAGCATGCGTGAGTACACATACCCACACTATCAACAGCAAAACAATCCAGAGAAAAACCTCGATTGAAAAGCAGTAGCTATTAAAAACTAGAACACGTTTAAAATGGGCCCAGAGGGAGATTAAATGATAAAGTGTTAGATTTTAACCTAACTGCTTCTCCAACCCTCCACTTTCCATTGCGCTCTGCATGAGAGCTGCAATGAGAGCCCCTGCACGGCTTAAAACAATGAAACAACTTTAAAACGGGTCAAAAGGAAGGTCAAATGATAAGGTAGTACATTTTAACCCAACTACCTCTGCCATACTCAAGTTTACCATGCTCTCCGTCTGCTACCGGTAACAGTGCTACTCAATCCCCTGTGGTCAGTAGCCATACATCTTCTTCAATCTTCTTTTGAGGCTTCCTACATCCTTCAATAGTTTGTCCAAAGAATCATCGCATACTGCAATTCCAGGATTAAATCTTCTCTGTACTCCGCCTTGCAAAATGCCCCACGTGTTCTCCTTTCTAGTTTTCGAACCCCAGGTCTCTGCACATTTCATTTTTTTAGTTTGTCTTCTAGAGCCGCCCTTTGAAATTTCCTCTTTTGTTCTTTCGCTCTATCACTTCTTCCCCATCACCTTAGCTGATTTACATTCAAGAGGAAGTTCCAGAGTGTCTTCTGACCTCTAGTTGGTCTTTTCCTTCTTTGCCGTCTTTCACCGTGATGTCTTTGATTGTCACCCCACAACTCGTATGGTCTTCAGTCATTAGTGTCCAAGGCTTCAAATCAATTCTGGCGATGGTCTCTAGATTCAGGTGGAAGATACTCCAGGTTCTATTTTGGCTCTTAGGATCCTGTTTTCATTTCCTCAGCTTCAGCTTGAACTTGAATCCCTCTACTCAAAAAACAAAACTCGCTGCCATTGAGTCGATTGCAACTCACAGCGACCGTGGAGAACAGGGTATGAGTTCCTGAGACTGTAATTCTTTGTGGGAGTAGAAAGCCCCATCTTTCCCCCAAGGAGCTGATCATGGTTTTGAACCGCTAACCTTGCAGCTGGCAGCCCAATGCGTAACCACTTCCACCACCGGAAATGCAATGACTGGAGAAGGAAGCAGGTGTGTTCACTAGTGCTGGTCGGTAAGTCCCTGTAAACTCTGTGGGTGGGTGGCAGGAAGAGTTGGGCAAAGTCTACCAGCAGTTTAAAGCACCCGTTCTTTACCTCTCCACGTCCACTGCTACAGCAGAGCAGATGCATAGGTGCCTCACAAAAGGGGCAATAAGACACAAATATCAAGATGTACCAGACATGAATGGTAACAGAAGCATGCATGATTACGATAAGCAATTGGCAGACACAGTCACCATTAGAGCACGACACCACTGTTGAGAACGAATGCACGGCCGGTGTGTGCGGCTACGGGAGCTCTCCAAACCCCACTGACTGAATAAGGAAGGTGCAGAGCAAAGCGTCCACAGGATGAGCTTGTTTGGGTGCGTTTTCTTCAAAAACAAAAGTAAAACCATACACACTTTCCCCTGAAAGATGAACAAGAATAACACCAAGTCCCTTAAAGCTGATTTATTTCAGCATTTGTCATTGTGTTGTATCTCAAAAAACTGTGCTGTAGATCCGAACCTCTAGGCCTCTGGCTATAATCTCATCTGGGGATGGGTCTTTGTTATGTTAATGAGAAAGGGTTCTTGTGAGTTCAGGGAAAACTCATGGGAGTAGGAAGCCTCATCTTTCTCCCTAGGAGCAGTTGGTGGTTTTGAACTCCAGATCTTGCAGGTAGTAGCCCAACCTATAACCACTAAGCTACCAGGGCTCCTCTTCTTGAGTCAAGACCTTACATAATATAAAGGAGCCAATTAAGGAAACAGAGGTGGCGTATTTTTAAAAAAATCAGATGTATATATGTATGGTGATAAGAGTTGTATGAGCTCCTAATTAAATGATTAAAAAATATACACGAAATGTAACCATTAAAGAAAATACAGAAACAAAAAGTAAAGCCAAGCCAAAGACTAAAGACCTTTCCCAAGGGCCGACAAAAGAAAGCCATCCCCTAGGGCCCACACGCAAAATTCTAACGCATAGTCCCTTAAACAGAGAGAAAATAAATGCGTGTTTGTTGAGCCACCTACTGGCGGCATTTCTTATAGCAACGCCAGCGGACCCGGTTGGGGCCACAGTGCTGCCAGTGCAAGCTTCTGCTTGGTTCCAAAGAGCTAGGGCTCACGGGTGGAGAAAGACAGGGCTTCATGGCGCCAGGAGTCGCAGTCTCAGAAACCCACGGGGAAGGTCTACCCTGTCCTATAGGGTCGTTATGAGCCGGCATCGACTGATAGCCGCCGAGTTTGCTCTAGGGGGGTCTCAAAGCCTGCCCTGCCCCAAACTAGACCAAGCATGCAAACCGAAGCCGGCATGTCTGCCAAGGGGCAGGCCTGTTTGCACCAGTCGACCCCCAGCCAGCAGCATAGGCGGCCTCTTGGCCGGCTTCACACACAGCTGAAAGTTGAACTCACCAATCTGGCAGATTGTGAATTGCTGGACACTCAGCCTGGTCTTTAGATACCACTCGGAGGGCAGGTCAAACAGGCTGTGGGCAACAGGCGCGTCACCCCACAGGCACCGGGGCGCCTCGTTCCCAGAGGCCGGCCCTGCACCGCGACGTCCTCCCCCCACCCCCCACGCCCTCACCCCTCCCCCTCCCTCCCCACAGCCTGGCGCTGGGCTAACACGAGGGGGTGGCACAGCCTCTGCCGGACTCCACTTTACCTGATCTGCTGGGGTCCGGGCAAGTTGGAGCGCAGGCCCGTGAACTCTATGTCCAGTGCTGCGGGAGGGGGCGGGAGACAAGAGGTCCCACGAAGACCCTGACACCCCAAGGTGGATGCTTCGGGTGGCACACGTTCTCGGTGCCCGCAAAGCCAGGTGCGGTCAGGAGGGAACATGTAGGATGCAGGGGGCCGAAGCCAGAGGGGGCTGGCAACCTTGTGGGTCCACCCAGCCTCGCAGCGTGGGGCCAGCCTGGCTCTCTAACCCCCACCCCACCCTCACCCCCATCGCCTCCTCTACAGGGCTTGGAACCCTCAGGCCAGGCTGAGTCTAACTGGGGTGGAGCTTCCCCACCCCCACGCCACCCCCAAAGGACCAGACGCCGGCCTGGGCCCAAGGCCCTTCCCCTGCGCTGTCCGGGCTGCCCAGTCTCGCTAGCGTCCCCCAGCCCCTGCCCTGGGCGCGCCCCCCCCTCCCCCGCCCCCAGGGCTGCAGGCACCTTACCCACGAAGTCAGCCCCGAGAACCAGCTCCTGCAGCATGGGCAAGATCTGCTCGAACTCCTCGGCGCTCACGTCCATGGCCGCACAGGCCCACTGGAGGCCACGTGGCACCGCGTGCTGCTCACTTCCGCCTGTGCCGCCGCAACGGCCCACGGGACGCGCGCCCGGAAGGCAGGGACCACAGGGCCACGGGACCTGCACCGGTAGCCCGTCTCCACTCGGGCTCCCACCAGCCACGCCCCCACCACGCTGACCCTCCACCAATCCCCGGGCCTCCCACCAGCCCCTGCCTCCCGCCCCCACCAGCCGCACCTCCACCACCCGCTGCTACCTCCCCACAGGCGAACCGTGTACCACTTGCTCACTAGGGGCTGTCACCAGTCTGCATCCCATGCAAACAGTTAGCTCGCTGGGTTTGTTCATCAGTCTAACCAGAGGCACCTTGGAAGAGTCCTGCAGCTCCACTTCCCCCAAACCCAGCTGCAGACAACCCCAGGGGGCCCAGCTGTGCTCTGACAATCAATTGGCAGGGGAATTTCCTTGGGGTTGTGGCCTGCAGTCAATAGATGAGGGGGCTTCAAAAGGTATGTGGGAAAATGGGAGTTTAAAGATGATGCAATTTTTCCAAAACCGTTTCCCCCCCTCACATTTTATCTTCATATTTTTTATTTCTGTTCTTTTTTATTTTATTTTTTAAAATAATTTTATTGGGGGCTCATCCAACTCATCACAATCCATATAGCTATCCATTGTGTCAAGCACATTTGTACATTTGTTGCCATCATCCTCAAAACATTTTTTTTCTACTTGAGCCCTTGGTATCAGCTCCTCGTTTTTTCCCCTCCCTTTCCTCCCTCATGAACCCTTGATAATTTTTTTGCCCATGTTTTACACTAACCAATGTCACTCTTCACCCACTTTTCTGTTGTTCATCCCCCTGGGAGGGGGTTATATTAGATCATTGTGATAGGTTCCCCC